CATGCATGGTATATATTGAGATATATGCTCTTTACAAAGGACATGACTCAAGCAGACAGTTTCAGACACATGCACTGAGTTAAACCATACTTTTAAACTAGTAAATGATCTCAGAATTAAACAAACAGGGACTCAAATGAAAGCCACGAATATGTAGTTTGTATAACAGGAAGAATTTCATGCATGCATGGTATATGTTGAGATATATGTTCTTTACAAAGGACATAGCTCAGGCAGACAGTTTCAGACACATGCACTGAGTTAAACCATACTTTTAAACTAGTAAATGATATCAGAATTAAACAAACAGGGACTCCAATGAAAGCCACGAAAGTCTAGTTTGTCGAACAGAAAGTTATGATCTGTTTAGTGGTAGTGTATCTTGCTGGAAATTTCTGCACGAAATTTCTGTTTTAAGATAAATTGACATGCATGCCCTAAAATGTTACATGCAAGACTAAATCCAAATTAACTATATAATTCAGTTCTAACATCCTTAATAACAACATGCAACTGAGATTTTTACCTAGGGTTTTGACTTTGCCCCACTTCCTCCACCAAAGTCCTCAACTACCTTCTTTCTCCACTCCTTCTTCTTCAATGTTCTTGAGAGATGAAGGCTTTGGAAATCTTTTATTTATTTATTTATTTTTTTAAGAGGAGAGGTGCTGGAGATGTTCAGAGGAGAGGGAGGAGGTTTTTAAGAGATTTTTCTTCTTAAAATGGCAAAGTGAGAGGTGGAGGGCACATATATATAAGCCCATGTGAAGAGAAATCCTCAATTTGGCCAAAGTTGAGGGGTTTTATGCAAAATTTCCCCCACTAACATGGCTGAACAAATATAATAACTATGTTAATTAGAGAGTTTCACATTAGGTATTTAATGATTTGGTTATCTCTAATCAAGGTTTAAAGCATGGTTAACTTAGGTTTACATGCTAAGTTTGTATGCATGCTATGACTTAGTTAACTAGATCACAATATGAGAATTAGATAAGTTAAATTCTCATACTAGAAGATTATATGAGATGCAATAAAGAAAAGAATCTACTAATTTATGGATTGGTATCGGTAACGGTATCCGATCAGTGAAAGGAAAAAAACTTTGGAATGTTACATACTCCCCCCCTTAAGGAAATTTCGTCCCCGAAATTTTTACGTACCCTCAAAATAAATGTGGATATGTTTTTCGCATCTCAAGTTCTAGTTCCCATGTTGCCTCCTCAACGCCTCGATTATTCCAGAAAACTTTAACCAGCAATATGGATTTGTTTCTCAGCTGCTTCTCCTTAAAGCCTAGCACTCGAACCGGTCGTTCTTCATAAGATAGATCCTCCCGCAGGGGCAAGGCTTGGTGCAAAATGATGTGTCTGGGGTCTGGTACGTACTTTTTCAGGTTTGAGACATGGAACACGTTATGAATCTTCTCTAATTCTGGGGGCAAGGCTAGCCGGTAGGCTACAGGTCTGATCTTCTCCAAAATTTCGAATGGCCCAAGGTATCTCGGACGGAGTTTGCATTTCTTGCCACCTCTTGTTATTCCTTTCATTGGTGTAGCCTTTAGAAACACATGATCACCAACCTGAAATTCTAGGTCCTTGCGTCGACGATCTGCATAGCTCTTTTGCCTACTTTGGGCCGTCTGCATATGTTGCCGAATAGTTTGGATCTTCTCAGTCGTCTCCTGGATTACGTCTGGTCCAAGTAGTCGACGATCACCAGTCTCTTCCCAACAGATAGGGGATCTACATCGCCTCCCATATAGGGCTTCATAAGGTGCCATGCCAATGCTAGAATGAAAGCTATTATTGTAGGCGAACTCTACTAGCGGCAAATGCGTAGCCCAATTGCCTCCAAAATCTAAGGTGCAAGCTATCAGCATGTCCTCCAGGGTCTGTATCGTTCTCTCAGATTGTCCATCAGTTTGAGGATGTGCTGAAGTGCTGAACTTCAGTTTAGTCCCCAAAGCTTGATGTTGGCTCTTCCAAAATCTTGAGGTGAAACGGGGGTCTCGATCTGATACAATGGATATGGGAATCTAGTGGAGCTTCACGATCTCTTCAATGTATAAACTGGTCAACTTTTCCATGGTATGCGACATCTTGTAGGGTATGAAGTGCGCTGACTTGGTCAGGCGGTCAACTACCACCCATATGGCATCCTCTCCTTTTGTTGATCGGGGTAGTCCAGTAACAAAATCCATGGTGATGTGATCCCATTTCCATTCTGGAATGGGCAAAGGTTGTAATAGTCCTGATGGTTTCTGATGTTCAATCTTCACCTGTTGGCATGTTAAACATTTTGATACAAATTCAGCTATCTCCTCCTTCATGCGGTTCCACCAGAAGTTTTGTCGGAGGTTCTGATACATCTTGGTGCTACCCGGATGAAGAGCATATAGGGTCTGGTGAGCTTCTCTTAATATCTGATCCTTAAGCTCCCCATCATTGGGTACACAAAGGCGATTACCCATCTTTAAAACACCATCTTGAATCTTAAAGTCTGAATATTTTCCTTGTTCCACCTTCTTCCTTATCTCACATAGCTCCTTGTCTTCCTTCTGTCGCTCCTTGATTTGGTCCAACAGAGTAGGTTGTAGGCTTATCTGACAAATCTTCATTCCAGAAGAATACTTTCTAACTTCAATCTCCATTCTCTCAAGCTCCTTACTTAACTCGGCTTGTTTAGTTAGCAAACAAGCTGATGCAATATGATTCTTCCGACTGAGAGCATCTGCTACTACATTCGCTTTACCTGGATGGTAAAGAATATTTACATCGTAGTCTTTCAGCAATTCCAACCACCTTCTTTGCCTCATGTTAATCTCCTTCTGAGTAAATATATACTTTAGGCTCTTGTGATCTGTATAAATATCACATGATACCCCATATAGATAGTGTCTCCATATCTTCAGGGCAAAAATCACAGCAGCCAATTCCAGATCATGAGTGGGGTAATTCTTCTCATGAGGTCTCAATTGCCTGGAGGCATAAGCCACTACCTTCTCATTCTGCATTAGAACACAACCTAAACCTCTGGAAGATGCATCACTATATATCACAAACTTATCTGAACTCGTAGGGATAGTGAGGATGGGAGCAGTTACCAACCGTTTCTTCAACTCCTGAAAATGCTCTTCGCATTTCTCACTCCAATTATACTTGACATTCTTACGAGTCAAATAAGTTAAAGGGGCTGCTAATTGGGAAAAGTCTTTAACAAATCTTCTATAATATCCTGCTAGTCCCAAAAAGCTACGAATCTCAGTCACTGAGGTGGGATGCGGCCAGTTCACGACAGCTTCAACCTTTGCTGGATCCACGGATATCCCATCTCTTGTGATCACATGTCCTAAAAACATCACCTTTTCTAGCCAGAATTCACACTTCTTAAACTTTGCGTATAGCTGTTGCTCTCTTAGGATTTGCAATACAATCTTCAAATGTTCTTCATGTTCTTGGTAACTCTTAGAATAGATCAATATGTCATCAATGAAAACCACCACAAATTGATCCAAATATTGTTTGAATATCCGATTCATCAGATCCATGAATGCGGCCGGCGCATTAGTCAGTCCAAAAGGCATCACTAAAAATTCATAGTGACCGTAGCGAGTCCTGAATGCTGTTTTTGCTACGTCCTCAGGCTTAATCTTTAACTGATGGTACCCTGACCTTAAATCAATTTTGGAAAAATATTGAGCTCCTTGAAGCTGATCAAATAGATCATCTATCCTTGGGAGTGGATACTTATTCTTAATGGTCAATTTATTCAACTCTCTGTAATCTATACAGAGTCTCATACTCCCATCTTTCTTTTTCACAAATAAGACTGGTGCTCCCCATGGAGACACGCTGGGTCTAATGAATCCTTTATCCAATAACTCTTGAAGTTGTTCCTTTAGTTCCTTCATCTCAACTGGCGCCAATCTATAAGGGGCTTTAGATATAGGAGTGGTCCCTGGGACCAAGTCTATGGCAAACTCTATCTCCCGATCTGGAGGCAATCCTGGCAAATCTTCTGGAAAGACATCCGGGTAATCTCTTACAACAAGTATATCTGAAAGCTTTTTCTCATTCAATTGGTCACTTATCACACAAGCTAAATATCCACTACAACCTTGCCTCAACAATTTATTAGCCTTCATAAATGAGATTAGGTGCGTGAGTGGTCTTCTACTTTCCCCTTGGAAAACAAAACTCGCCTCCGCTTGTGGTTTAAACTTTATCAGTTTTCTCAAACAGTCTATAGTTGCATGATGAGATGCTAACCAATCCATTCCTAGGATAACATCAAAATCTGACATGTCTAGGCATACAAGGTCTGCATTCATGACATGATCACTCACTAAAACTCCACAATTCTCATAAACATATGTTGCTAGGAGACTACCACCCATAGGTGTGGACACAATTATCTCACTACTTAATAGTGTCGGTGAATTGGGAAAATTCCTAGCAAAGTGAGGTGATACAAAAGAGTGTGTAGATCCAGGGTCGAAAAGTGCATGAGCGGTGAATGAACATATGGGAACTGTACCTTCCACCACAGATGGTGATGCTTGTGCATCCTTCCTTGTCAGGGCAAAAACTCTTCCTTGGTTCCTTTGGTTCTGCTGCACACTCTGGTTGGACTGAGCCTTCCGCTGGGGAGCATTTGATTGCTGTGAGGCATTAGCTCGAGCCGCGTGATCTCCTCTTGGTGCTCGCTCTGTTATTGCTTGATTCCTCAAGGTTGGACAATCTCTCTTGAAGTGCCCAGGTTGACCACACTCGAAACATGCACGGTTTAAGTTTGCAATATCCAGAGTGATGATTGCCACATCTAGGGCAGGCTGCTGACTTATTTGGCTGATTTGCTCGATCACGACGAAAGGGAAATTTTGCTGTCGCTGACCTCCCGGGCTGATTCGATGCTGACTTATCGGTTGTGGGACCTCCTTCTGTTCGTGGGCGTTTAACTGAACTCTGCTTCTTATTGCGGATCTCCTGATACTCCAGCTAGTCTTTCTCAATTTCAAATGCAGTCTCCACCAGTTCTGCGTAGTTCCTGATTCTGAGGGCCACTAGTTTCCCTCTGATATTTCCCCTGAGTCCCCTTTGAAACTTCTTAGCCTTATCTGATTCTTCAGCGATCAAATGTGGAGCAAACCTTGATAGTTGAGTAAACTTAGCCTCATACTCTTGGACCGTCATGTTATTTTGTTGCAAACCTTGAAATTCAATAGCCCACTGATCCCTAACACTCTCCGGGATATATTTCTTATTCATAAGCTCCACAAATCTATCCCAATCAATCTGTCTCTGGGCAGCCCTTTCTAATCTTAAGGTTGCCCTCCACCAATGTTCAGCTTCCCCTCTGAACATAAAGGCGGCAAATGACACCTTTTGCTCCTCTGCACAATTTAAGACTGTAAAAATCTTCTTCATTTGTAAAATCCAATCCTCCTCATCCAGGTCAAGCTCTCATCCAAGTGGAATTCCCTCTTGGAACTCATCAAGTAGGGGCTATTGTGCTACCTCAAATTCCCACTCCATAGGCATCTCCACTGGATCCTCATCCTCCATAGGGTTCTCCTCAGGTTCCTCCTCCTCGGGATCCTCCTCCATGGGGTCCTCCTCCTCGGGGTCTAGGTATTTCAATGTAGGGCTCTTAAGGTGTCAACCTGTGCTCTGATACCACTGTGTGACGCCCCTCCTCTGGGAGGTACATAAAAATTTGAGCATGACCTATCTGTAATAAGAAGGGTCGACCTGCTAAATCTTTATGCACATCACAACATAGATATACTGAAGGGCGAAAAATAAAGCAGTAGAGATGCATATGCAATACCCAAGATCACGAGGTTGACAGCAGAGTCCATTGAATACCAAAATAGAAGAGAACTAAAGGGTAATACAAAATATTACAATAATAGCAGTGGCTACAACATTAATACATGTTTTATAAGTCAAAGGTACTACAAAAGTGAACATAAATTAACCCCTATTAAGATTTTCCTCTGGAGCTAATCTTCAAATTCAGGGTCTGCAATGCCCTTATCCTTGCCAGTTGTATGACCTGCGAGTGGATTCAGAAACAATAGGGGTGAGCCTAAGGCCCAATAGGTAACCATAAAAATCTCGGGTACAATCCAAGGGAACGAATGAAAATGATAGACATAGATATCAAACTTGAACAACGGGGTCTCAACATTAAGTTGCCATTCTTATATCGTAATCATTGACCGAAGTGAAATAACATGTAAAGATGAATAATCAAGGTCTAATATTCAGGATTCCAAACTCCCCAATCATGGGATAATCAATAAACCGCGCATGCTTTTATACACCCACCGGTGAGCGTCCTCACACAGGGCATTGTCCCACCGGGACACTATAACATTACCACCCACCGGTGAAGCTTACTTCACACAGGGCATAATCCATGAATATAGACAATCAATCATCAACGAAGAGAGGAATACTATCATTATCAATAGTTGAACCATCGAATCAATTCGAATTGTTGCAATGAAATCATTCAAGGATATCGAAGGTATAAAACTGAAATAAACAACATTAGGATAGCAATGATTAACCAATCAACAACGAGCCCATGCATGAGGTGAATCAAATAGGAATATTATGAAAATGATAAGATATACAATTAGCATGGGAAACTAACTCGCAGGAATTTCAAGAAAGTAATCAATCGAACTCTCAAAGACTTGAGAGGAAACAATGAAAGGTTACCTACCGATTATGTCGGGATCCTCTCGGCCAACGAATGAATCCAAGATTCTCTGTCCTATATATACATGTATACCCACATGAGATTCTAGACACTATGTCTTTTAAAACTTTAACTTAAAACTTATATCATGGTATAAGCTACACCCTAGATGATTGCATCTAATATCTCTAATATGCACAGCAACCTAAGTAGTATACATGCAGCAGATTTAGGTGAATGAATGGTATAACAATCGATGTCTAGAATACATGAAACTAGTCCCAAATGACTCCATTATGAGTCTAATTTCAGAATATAAAACTTTTACATCAATGCATTGTGTATAGTAAGAGTCATGCTCTCAGAAAACTACACCTATCAAAACTGTAGCAGAAAAACAGAGATCATCATTTGGGATGAATAATTTATTTCGGGTACTTAACTATATCCCAAAGAGCTCATACTTGGTATGTAAGTAATATTATGGATTAGCTTCCATGTCCCATGAGTTTCATCAATTTTGCATTTTTAAAATGCATGTTACATGCAAAACAACACAGGGGGGTAGACTGGAATTTCCAGCACATATGCTAGCTATTAGAACTAGGTTTAGGCCTACCAAACGTTATTCAAATTAATTCAAACTCCTATCAACAGAAATATAATTGAGTCTAGTTTTAGAAATAGAAAGAATTTCATGCATGCATGGTATATGTTGAGATATATGCTCTTTACAAAGGACATGACTCAAGCAGACAGTTTCTTACACATGCACTGAGTTAAACCATACTTTTAAACTAGTAAATGATCTCAGAATTAAACAAACAGGGACTCAAATGAAAGCCACGAATATTTAGTTTCTATAACAGAAAGAATTTCAAGCATGCATTGTATATGTTGAGATATATGTTCTTTACAAAGGACATAGCTCAGGCAGACAGTTTCAGACATATGCACTGCGTTAAACCATACTTTTAAACTAGTAAATGATATCAGAATTAAACAAAAAGGGACTCAAATGAAAGCCACGAAAGTCTAGTTTTTATAACAGAAATAATTTCTTCATTTCGATATATACAAAGAAAGTTATGATCTGTTTAGTGGTAGTATATCTTGCTGGAAATTTCGGCGCGAAATTTCTGTTTCAAGATAAATTGACATGCATGCCCTAAAATGTTACATGCAAGACTAAATCCAAATTTTGACATGCATGCCCTAAAATGTTACATGCAAGACTAAATCCAAATTAACTATATAATTCAGTTCTAACATCCTTAATAACAACATGCAACTGAGAGTTTTACCTAGGGTTTTGACTTTGCCCCACTTCCTCCACCAAAGTCCTCAACTACCTTCTTTCTCCACTCCGGGTTTTGACTTTGCCCCACTTCCTCCACCAAAGTCCTCAACTACCTTCTTTCTCCACTCCTTCTTCTTTAATGTTCTTGAGAGATGAAGGCTTTTCGAAATATTTATTTTTTTTCTTTAAGAGGAGAGGTGCTGGAGACATTCAGAGGAGAGGGAGGAGGGTTTTAAGAGATTTTTCTTCTTAAATGGCAAAATGAGAGGTGGAGGGCACATATATACAAGCCCATGTGAAGAGAAATCCTCAATTTGGCCAAAGTTGAGGGGTTTTATGCAAAATTTCCCCCACTAACATGGCTAAACAAATATAATAACTATGTTAATTAGAGAGTTTCACATTAGGTATTTAATGATTTGGTTATCTCTAATCAAGGTTTAAAGCATGGTTAACTTAGGTTTACATGCTAAGTTTGTATGCATGCTATGACTTAGTTAACTAGATCACAATATGAGAATTAGCTAAGTTAAATTCTCATACTAGAAGATTATATGAGATGCAATAAAGAAAAGAATCTACTAATTTATGGATTGGTATCGGTAACAGTATCCGATCAATGAAAGGAAAAAAAAAATTGGAATGTTACATTGTTGATCTTGAATATGTTAGCATTATGGCTCTATCACCTTTAGATAGCCGATATTTGCAGAAAGTCAAGGATTTGCATCCATTCTTTAGTGAATATGGGTTAATCCGTTACCGTGTAATGGTCGAGGTAACTTTCATTAAATTTTCCTGTAAGAATACATATTTAATAAGTGCTTTTTTATTCAAAACCAATGCACAGTTTTAGTCTTACATTATGTTTTTTTTAAGAATAATGGTTTCATATTTAAATGTAGATTGTCAATCATTTCTGTAGCGAATGATAAAGAAATGTTTCTGGTAAAGAATGAAGAAACTGTGGTTGTTGATTAGATATCCTTGTTCGTCTAGCTTACAAATCATAATATGTCTCAGGTATTTAGATAAAAGGTTTAAAGCATTAGTTAGCTCAAAAGGTTTAAAGTTGTGCCTAAAATATTCTGTGAACCGTTGGGATATTTATATTTGATATGCATATCTGACAATAGTACCCCTCTTCTAAAAATTTTCATATGATGTAGTAGCAGTTTCTGTATGAGTCCATCGAACATTGTTTATTTAGGTCATGCTTATTAGTGTGCTTTCTTTTACAATCTGACAAAACGTCCACCCTCTACTTTGATATAGGTAGCAGTCTTCATTAAAACTTGTCATAGTGTAGCCATGTCTTGGGTAATGGAGAAAAAGGTAACTTACAAGTAAAAAAGGTTTACATCTTTCTCCATTACCCATCATGATTTGACAAATCTGGCCACTGTAGTTATATTTTCATGTTGGCTACTTAGTGCAAAGTGCTAATCTGAAGCGATTTATTTTTAGGTAAAATGGTTGCTAAAATTAACAGAAATACCTAAAATCAAGGAGGTTCAATGCTTTAGCGAGAATGGCAGGTCTTATTTAAAAAGTATACTTAGTGGCTTTAGCAAAGCTAATGCTCTGGAAGTGAAAAAGATTGAAAAAGTAACTAACCACGATGTTAAGGCAGTGGAATACTTCTTGACAGAAATGTCAATCCAATGCTGAGATTATTGAGGTGAGTTTTTGATGTCCCTTATTGTGGGTACTCTATGCTTCCTCTTTATATAACTACGACTAACTGTGGTTTCAAAGATTTCATTTGATGCTTAAAATTTGACATCAGATTCTACAAAATTCTTTTTTAGGAACTGGAGTTTTTCCATTTTGCTTGTACATCAGTGGATATAAATAATTTAGCCCATGCATTGGCACTGAAGGAGGCGTTCAACACTGTCATATTTCCTGTGTTGATTGAGCTGTTGAATGCAATATGCAAATTAGCAAAGGAAAATGCTCATATCTCCATGTTGTCTCGCACTCATGAATAGGTATTTTTAGTTCAAGATGAGAGGAAACTCTTGTTATAACGGAATACCAACTTTTTGTTGATTATATGTTATCTACAAAAACTTTAATGCTATATAAGCATAATTGAAAATCTTATATTTCCCTTTTATTTGTGTTTACACATAGAAGGACATAGTTTTTTGTATATATTGATTTAAAAAAAAAGAATTAGAAGTTATTTGACTAAGAAAATGCAGAGAATGCTTCAAGGAAATAGAAAAATTCTTTTTCATTTCCATGAACTAATTTATTTAGCAATCCTAAATTCTTAATGAAAATTATCCCAAATAGAGAAGGGATGCAACCGACAAGAGCACGTTTAGAGAAGGATTAGAGAAGTGGGTGTACTAAAAAAAAACAAAGTACTCTTGGGTTTAAAAAGTTAAACTTAATCTAAGGTGCACATGCTAATATTCCACTAAAAATTTTTCCCTAATGTCCTGGTGGTGGATTTTTTTTTGGTTGAAATAACTCAAAGATTTCTGGATGGTCATTTTAGTGAATTTTTTTATACAAAAGTAAGCTTTTTTCGGGGGGGGGGGGGGGGGGGGGGGAGGGGGTATATATAGAAATAACTAAATA